TATCTCCAAGAGTATTTTTGGTACATTTTACTCAATTATTTTGTTACAGAGCTACAGTTTTGTTGCTTCGTTAGAAGAAGGAAACTCATTTATGTGACACATATTCACTGTTATGATGATTAAAATGTTTCATATGAACTTTGCATAAGAAGTGGTTTAACAAAGACTTTTAGTATCACAGCCATGACTTATTAACCCTTTATTTTTTATTGAACTGTACTGAATCGATTTGAAATATATCATATCAAATCGAAAGTGAACTGTATTGAGGTATGTATCGTATCGGCAACTTCTTAATGATATGCAGCCCTATTCAGGATACATTTTAAGTATCTGTACTTTACTTGAATACATTTTAAACTGGATACTTTTTACTTTTACTTCACAACATTTCAGAGCAGGTTTCTGTACTTTTTACTCCACCACATTTTAGATCTGGACTGAAAAGTAAAAGTATTTTTTATTGAGCTGAAAAGGCCAAGGGTTTATTTTTTATCAAGTTAATTGTTAGAGCAAAAATATACAAATGAAAACTTCCAAATCAATGCATTTTAAGTCTTATAAGACCTCAAAATATGCACAAAATACTTTAAAAACAGGCACGTTAATACATTTTTTCATGTGATACTTTTACTTTTGCTTCAGTATTTGTTTGCTCCAGTATCTGTACTTTTACTTGAGTAATAAACTTGAGTACTTTTTCCACCACTACATTTTTGAACTGAAAAGTAAAAGTATTTTTATTGAGATGAAAAGGCCAAGGGTTTATTTTTTATCAAGTTAATTGTTTGAGTGAAGAAAATATACAAATAAAAGTAAAATAAGCTGAATAAAGTTGTGGAGTCTTGTCCATGGGGAGATATAAAAACTGAAATTTGAGCATTAGTTTAGATCAGGTTCAGCAATGGTTTTAGAGTTTTGATTTTGGTCCAGAATTCTTAGTAGTGCTGAAAGGTTAAAGGGTTCATGTTCTAGTCCTGATTTAGTCCAGTTTTAGTCCTGGTTTAGTCCAGTTTTAGTCCTGAGTTCAGTTCTACTCCTCCTGAGTTTAGTCCAGTTCTAGACTTGGTTTGGTCCAGTTCTAGTCCTGTTCTAGTCCAGTTCCAGTCCTGAGTTTAGTCCAGTTCCAGTCCTGGTTTAGTTTAATTCTAGTCTTGGTTTAGTCCAATTCTAGCCCTGTTCTACACAGTTCTAGTCCTATTCTGGTCCTGGTTTAGTCCAATTCTAGTCTTGGTTTAGTCCAGTTCTAGTCCTGATTTAGTCCTGTTCTAGTCAGTTCTAGTCCAGTTCTAGTCCTGATTTAGTCCTGTTCTAGTCCAGTTCTAGTCCTGATTTAGTCCTGTTCTAGTCCAGTTCTAGTCCTGTTTTAGTCCAGTTCTAGTCCTGATTTAGTCCTGTTCTAGTCCAGTTCTAGTCCAGTTCTAGTCTGATTTAGTCCTGTTCTAGTCCAGTTCTGTTCTAGTAGTCCTGATTTAGTCCTGTTCTAGTCCAGTTCTAGTTCTGATTTAGTCCTGTTCTAGTCCAGTTCTACTTCAATTTTAGTTCTGTTCTAGTCCTGAGTTTAGTCCAGTTCTAGTCTTGGTTTAGACCAGTTCTAGTCTTGATTTTGGTCAATAATTCTTAGTAGTGCTTAAAGGTTAAAGGGTTCATATGACGATAATTTGTGATCTATGTTATAATGTTGTTTCTTCGTCAAAAACAAACCTGGAGTTGTGTTTTGTTTCATTCACACAAATCCTGCATATTTAGGTTTTTTGGAGCTACACCTTGCGATGCCACGTTGCAATACAGGAAGTGCTCCACATCTGTTTTCAAACTCCATGCACCTTCACTAGAATCATTTGGATAATTTCAACCCTGGAATTGTCAATCTCTACTAGGGATGTAACAATAACCAAAATATCGTGATACTGTATCATCAATATATCGAATTTTAAGTTCCTTTGAAATAAATAAATGAATGGTTTTACAGTAGCAACAGCTTATGAACATTGGGAACTACATTTCCCATGATTCATTTCAGCGCAGGCAACATGAAGAAATATGTTTTTACTTGAATTCTTGGGATTATGACGGAAATAATTCACACCAAAATCTTGTCAAGGTATTTTAAAACTGAAAAAGTGTCTAGCCTCTTCAAAATATCACAATATCGTAATGTGAGATGCATATCGTGATAATATCGTACTAGAGATGCAACAATAACAGAAATATCGTGATATCGTATCGTCAAAGTTCTCACAATTATATCATGGACCATCACAATATATCGAATTACAAGTGTCTATGCTTAAATGAAGAGTTATGGTGCAGCAATCGCTAAAAAAAGACAGAGGGAACTACATAGACCATGATCCTTTGCTCCATTTCAGTGCAGACTACAAGAAGAAATAACAGTTCTAAACACTTTTAAGTCTTAGTTCTTTGGATTAAATCTTGTTAAGGCATTTTAAGAGGAAAAAGTAGCATATTAACAGTTTTAGCTGTTTAGCCTCCACGAAATATCGCAAAAAATATCGTACCGTGAGATGTATATCGTGAAAATATTGTACGAAGAGATTTGGATATTGTTACATCCCTAATCATGAATCTCTCCACCATATTGTGAGCTTTCCCACGATATCGCAATAAATATCGTACCAAGAGATTTGGATATCCTTACATCCCTAATCTCTACTGAATTTAAGGTAAAAGGAGCTGTTAATTTGAAAACTAAAACTACCTGGATCCGAGAATTTTGAGCTTTGGAGATGTAGACAGTAAACAATAAATGATTACTTAAACATGTGTGAATGAAACAAAACACAAGTCCAAGTCTGTTTTTGAGGAGGTAACAACATTATAACATGACTTAAAGCTCACAAGAGTCAATTTTGTGCAATTACAGAACCTTTAATCAACAAAACGTAAACTGAAAAGCCAAATTTACGGATTACAGATGTAGGTTTTCATGTTATGTTAAGGTTTCAAACGGCTGTCTCATCTCCGTGGGGTCTGATTTGTATATGAGCTGTTCGAACTTGTCCTGAAATGCGTGTGATTCTTGTTGGATCGTCATTCATATTACAGTCCCTCGCACACATTGACACTTCTGGGTGTGTTCAATATGGAGTGAGAACTGAAACTCGATTCGAAACCGCAAACAGCAAGAAATCAAATCACAATATTCAGTCAGAAAAATTACAAGTCCATTTCTTTTTCTTTTTTTTTTTGTTTTAATCCTTTCATGGTTTAGTTTCTGTGATTATGATTGTGATTATGTCATCTGCTCGAAAATCTCACAAAGGAGACGTCGTTCAAACCCAATTACTGTGAAATCAGGCTGTCAGAAAAAAACTGCAAAAACAATTTCACAAAAAAAAAAAAAAAAAAGACATTAATAACTGGAATCAGACTTTGAATCAACTTTTCTGGTGGAGGGTCCGTTAAATTGCTTTTCTCTGTGGAGATGTTATTGCTTTGGCCTGGAATGTTCCACAGTATGGCATTAAACCTTTCTATCTTCATGGAGACCAAACCAGACCAAGTTACAGGTCAGATCTGTGGAGAGGCGACCTCGCTCACAGTCAGAATGTTGTTTTTCTCGGTATTTCTGAGCTCTAAAAGCACCTGTAATTGAGTAAATGTAAAGTAGAGCTGTTTAATGTCACACTGTGGAACATTCTGGGCAGAGCAATGACATCTCCATAGAAACAAGCATGTTACGCTGCCATGGCGATAAATAATTTAAAGCAAGATCTTATATGTTTTGAATGGGAAAGTCATCAAACTGCTGCAAATAACTGGAAGCTGAAACTATACGGTAAACACCTCCAGGAAAAACATAAAGGTGTGTTCACACTTGGTTTGAGTCCAATTCTGTTCTGCTCTAGTCCTGATGTAGTCCTGGTTTAGTCCAATTATAGTCTAGGCCTAGGCCTGAGTTTAGAACAGCTCCTAGTCCTGGTTTGGTCCTGTTCTAGTCCTGGTTTAATCCAGTTCTAGTCCTGTTCTAGTGCTGATTTAGTCCAGTTCTAGTCCTGGTTTAGTCCAGTTCTAGTCCTATTCTACTCTAGTTCTAATCCTTTTCTAGCCCTAGTTTAGGTTAAGTTCTAGTCCAGTTCTAGTTCTGGTTTAGTTCAGTTCTAGTCCTGTTCCAGTCCCATTTTAGTCCTGGTTTAGTGCAGTTCTAGTCTTGGTTTAGTTCAGTTCTGGTCCAGTTCTAGTTCTGGTTTAGTCCAGTTCTAGTCCTGGTTTAGTGTAATTCTAGTCCTGTTCTAGTCCAATTTTAGTCCTGGTTTAGTCCAGTTCTAGTCCTGAGTTCAGTCCAGTTCTATTCCACCTGAGTTTAGTCCAGTTCTAGACTTGATTTGGTCCAGTTCTAGACTTGTTCTAGTCGAGTTCCGGTCCTGAGTTTAGTTCAGTTCCAGTCTTGGTTTAGTTCAATTCTAGTCTTGATGTAGTCCAGTTCTAGTCCAGTTCTACACAGTTCTAGTACTATTCTAGTCCTGTTTTAGTCCAATTCTAGTCTTGATTTAGTCCAGTTCTAGTCCAGTTCTAATCCTGTTCTATTCCTGTTCTAGTCCTGATTTAGTCCTGTTCTAGTCCTGATTTAGTCCTGTTCTAGTCCTGATTTAGTCCTTTTCTAGTCCTGTTCTAGTGCTGGTTTACTTCAGTCCTAGTCTTGGTTTAGTTCAGTTCTAGTCCAATTCTAGTCCTGTTCTACCCAGTTCTAGTCCAGTTCTAGTCTTGGTTTAGTCCAGTTCTAGTCCAGTTCTACTTCAGTTTTAGTTCTGTTCTAGTCCTGAGTTTAGTCCAGTTCTAGTCCTGATTTAGTCCTCTTCTAATCCTGTTTTGGTCCTAGTTTAGTCCCAGTTGTGTTGTGTGTACAAACGTAAACACATCCAGTTTCCACTTGTGTGAACCCGGGAACAGAACCCACAACTTTCTCACATAAACACAAACAGTGCGCCCTCGTGCCCCCACACCGAGGACCACATTTCCCATCCTGCTCCACTCACCCAGTCCTCGTAGTGCCTCGTGCCGTTCTGGAGCAGATCTTCCAGCTGGATGGTGCAGTTGGCCACAAAATCATCATACCCGATCGGCGCGTCATGGAAAACGGACAGCTCCAGGCTCCGTCCCTCCCTCACCTCGGTGCAAAACTCCTGGTGCCAAACGGGGCTGTTCGTTTTGGTCCGGGTCGCGGTCTGTCCCAGTCGGGTTTGGTCCAGGTTGAGCGCGAGGTAAGGGTCCAAAAGGAAAGAACCGCTTTTCCCGACGGCGTGACGCAAGGCCCACGGCGTTGGCTTCAGATCCACCGCCTCACAAACTTTGACTTTCAGGAGACCATTGAACACAGGCATGGCTACTTTTGTGTAAAAAACAAAAAACAAACAAAAAAAAAAAAACACTGATAAAAGGTGCTAAAGTGTGGTTCTGGGAGCGGTGGACCCGTGCAAATTCCAATTACAGGGTCATTACAAATAAATAAATTAAAGCTGCAAATATACGATTGTGAAAGCTAATAATTCATGTCAGAAATTTGGATTTTAAAGTTCTTACATTCACTGGCACGAAAGGATAGCAGGTCTGACATGTGCCAAAGTGGAAAAGACAGCAACACGTAGCGACGGTGAGTAAAAAAACAAACAAAAAAAAACGCCAAGTTGTTGCTTATAGTATGTATAAATCTGCATAAAATGGCAGAACATAAGCCAGTCATCTACATAGTTATGCAATTCACATACAACGCTTTGAGGTCACAGATGAGTGAGATAGAGGATTGTCGTTGTATCATCAAAATTGCAGTATCGCCATGACTATCGTCGACCGCCCCCTCGTTTTTTTTTTTTGTTTTTTTTTCTGCTTCTAGGTGGACCCCAGCGTCGTTGTGAATGTAAAGGATGTTTGGACTTTTTGACCGCTTCCTTTCGCTGATCTGGGGTCACTGCACAGTCCTTTCACATCCAATAACACGGTCCCCCGCCTTACGCATGTGTATCGGTGTAACAACGCGGGCTAAAACACGCAAACGCCACGCAAATGTCAAAATAAACGCGCAAATATCGGACTAACTCAAGACAGCGAGGTATCAATATCTCCCAACCGTGCCTTGTTTTGTTTATGGGCGGTCCTCTCGTGTGCACAATCCCAGTTTTCGGTGCAAATAAACCGGGTTGGGTGGTGAATATTGCGGTGAAACGGCGACTGGAGCTCCGCTGGTTCTGCGTAATTCTCTGGCGCGGTGCTGGAGAGCCTTTTCCCCGGGTCAGGGTGGGGGACAGCCGGAGTAGCAACGCCTAGCCATCCGCTTTTCGGTGCTCCTCCGCTGGATATACCTTCTCCCCGTCTCCTTCTTCGCTGGGCTGGGATTATCCTTTCGATTAAAGTCTGTGCGCAACCCTCTGACCTAACGCGATATTTGCGCGTAATCTCAAAAATGCAGTCTTCTTCTTTTTCTTCTTCTGCTTGCTGCTGCTGCTGCTTCTTCACAGAGGACGTTGCAACAGACGTGGAATAAACCAAGAATACATCACTGTTTTTTTAGCAATGCGCCCCTCTCACACCACACACACTCCTCAATCCGAGCTAGGAGCAGGAAATGCGAAAAAATCGTCACAAGCCGGATGAGAGAGGGAGAGAAAGAGACGAGGGGAGAGAGAGAGAGAAAGAGGGAGAGTTCGCAGTACGTACATTGGAGAGGTGAGTTTTTTTCTTTTTTTTTTTTTTTTTTTTTTTTAGGGGGATGGAATAGAGCTCCAGGCCACAGACAGCCAATGCAGTCAATAATCAGACTGGCCTCATGCATGGTCACACACTCCCCCCCTCTCTCTCTCTTTCTCTCTTTTCTTTCTCTCTCGCTTTCACATAAAGGTACAGGGGAAAAGGCTAAAAATACAAGAGCGTCTGCAGTCTCGGAACACGGCGTCCATTCAAAGTGGCGATTGCATAAAAGGTGTTAAAATCAGGGGTGTTGATAGAAAGCAACAGGCCGTGAAGTGACCAGAAACAAATCAAATGTCTGCACAAAATCGCTTTAATTACAAATACCTCAATTAATCTCACGTTAAACGCAACCCTGCTTTACTAATTTGCATATTTTCACACTGAAATCACGAATTCTCTTTCTTGTATTGCTAAAAATAAAAGTATCTATAATTTATTCAGATGTACAAAGACGTTTACTCAGTACGTTTTGCAAGTTTACTCAAAAATAATAAGCTAAAATAACCAAATTTGTATTTTTTTTTAAAATAGCAAGTGGTGGGAAATGTGACACAAGTAAACAAGACGGAACACAAAAAATTAAATAAATATATCAGGCAAAGCTACATGCAAATGTTTAATCCAGGTTAGAGATGGTTGTTGGACATTGAACGCAACAAAACGTTATCAGCATGTAAACTTAAGAAAAATAAATAAATAAAAACTAAAACTGTCCAAATAAGATAAATTAAATTGTTTATGTACAACAGTAGGTCAAAACATCAAGTAAATACAGATAAAAAAAAAAAAAAGTTGTGTTTTTAAATGAAGTTCCTCTAAGGTTGAATAACTGTACACGTTGTCCTTGAGCGCCCTCTGCCGGCTTTAGTGTAACATCACGAGATTATGACAGCTGGACACGTGACTTAAAGTGTTGGGATTGAACTCGAATCTGAGACTTGGTGCCAAAGTTAAAAATACACTCACATTAACAACGACCCTTAGTCTGTCTGTGCCAGTACAGTCGTGGTGCCAGTTCTGAATGGTTTAAATAAACCTCTGACCAGAACAAACAAACAAATATCAGTCTGCACTCTTCTCTTTTCTCTCTTTAATGTCTCTCTTTCTCTCTTTAATATGATAATTATTTATGTTTTGATTGGTTTGTATTGTTATTTTAATGTATTTCTTATTCTGTATAGCACTTTGAATTACTTTGTGTACGAATTGTATATAAATAAACTTGCCTTGCCTACTCCAGAATGATTTCATTTGCTTCGTCTGTACTTGATTTAAAAGTTGGCCTTCCTCAAATAGCTTAACTGTTCGTTTTATAGGAAATCATTGACCTTTATTGAACTGGTGGGCCATATGTCTAAAGCAGAGGTCATCAAACTAAGGCCCGCGGGCTGACTCCGGCTCTCCACACCCCTTTTACCTGGCCCCCCCACCACTTCCGAAACTTGCCCCATGAGTCAATCCTCAAAAGTCTCATGGCGTATTTTTTTTTTATGACTTTTGGCAAATATAACACATCTGCATCTTGTGTTTGGTTGTTTTTTCAGTTTACAAATTATATTTATATGAAGTATTTATATATTTAAAATATTATATGTAGTATTTATATTTGCCACCAAATTTCTGTCACCTGACAAACTTGAGATCAAACAGTGAGAGTAAACGCACACAGAGTACTGTAGGGCAGAGTACTGTAGGGCAGAGTACTGTAGCAGAGTAGTACTGTAGCACAGAGTACTGTAGTGCAGAGTACTGTTGTGCAGAGTACTGTAGTGCAGAGTACTGTAAGTAGTAGTAAGTAGAGTACTGTAGCACAGAGTACTGTAGTAGAGTACTGTAGTAGAGTACTGTAGCACAGTACAGAGTACTGTAGTGCAGAGTACTGTAGCTGTACAGAGTACTGTAGTGCAGAGTACTGTAGTGTACTGTACTAGTAGTGTACAGTAGTAGAGTAGTGCAGAGTACTGTAGTGCAGTAGTAGAGTACTGTGCAGAGTACTGTAGTACGCAGAGTACTGTAGTGCAGAGTACTGTAGAGTACTGTAGTACGCAGAGTACTGTAGCGCAGAGTACTGTAGCACAGAGTACTGTAGTGTAGAGTACTGTAGCGCAGAGTACTAGAGTACTGTGCAGAGTACTGTAGCGCAGTACTGTACAGAGTACTGTAGTGTGTAGAGTACTGTAGCGCAGAGTACTGTAGTGTAGTAGTACAGTGTAGAGTACTGTAGTGCAGAGTACTGTAGTGTAGAGTACTGTAGCGCAGAGTACTGTAGCGCAGAGTACTGTAGTGTAGAGTACTGTAGCGCAGAGTACTGCAGTGTAGAGTACTGTAGTGCAGTAAAGGACAGCAAAATGCTTGTGTTAAAGTACAAAAAGTTGACAGAGAGCGTCGAGTTTTCAAAGAACAGAGGACGACCGATTATTTTTTTTGTTCAGTGTGAGGAGCGTGGAGTTTGTCTGATATGTAAAGAAAGTGTGGAGGTTTTCAAAGAATATAATCTGGATCATGCAATTGTGTTACACGGCCAATCAAACCCCGACCCCGGACCCCATCACAATCAGGAGCCATAATGTTGTGGTCCCCAAAGAAAAAAGTCTGGTGACTCCTGGTTTAAAGGGCTCATATTAGGCTGTTTTCTGATCTATGTTATAATCTTGTTTCCTCTTCACAAACAGACCTGGAGTTGAGTCTTGTTTCATTCACACATATTTAACACACAAACCCTGCATGTTCTTCTCTCTGGTCTGGTTTTAGACCTGGTTTATTTCCGGTGGTACAAAAAGACAGCTATATTCTTCTGTATTACATTGTATGAACAAGTTTAATAACCAGTGGTCTAAACTATAATCAAACTTTTCACACCACCAAAGAAAAGATGCTGCTGTCTGAGAGTACCAGCAAATCTATAAGTCTGCAACAGGAGTATTCCAGATCTAATGGAGGACTCAGTTTTTCCCATTTACAGACCAGACGGTGCCCCACATAGACTAAAAAGAACATGGACTCGACACTGGCAACAAAATCTGACTTTGTTGCTCCATAAATAACAGAAAAGTAACTACACTGCTCAAAAAGACGGCTAAAATATGAAATAAAAGCCATAAAAGTGACATTTAAACTCCACATATTGTATGAAAGACCAAAATCTATGGGAGACACTAGGTCTAAAGCAGGTCTAAAACTGGACCGCATCAAGATATTATCCAAACGAGGACAGAAAAGTGGATAAAATGGTTTTAAATTAGGCAAACCCATAAACCGTAAAGCTGTTCAAGTATCACCTGAAGGAGCTCGCTTTTAATAATAGTTTTTATTGTGTGGAGATAAGGAAATGCTCGTGTCTGTTACTCTACGCACCGGACTGGGGACAGCTAAAAATGTATTTAGGAAGATTTTGGTTCACTTTTAACCATAAACTAATGAAAAAGTGAACCAAGAGAGAGATAGTGTGTGTGAGTCTTTGTAAAAGTCATTTTAAAATAAGAAAATATGTCATGTTCATTTTGCAAGAGCATCCCACTTTAAATATAGCAAGACTGGCGCCACCTAGTGTCTCTGCTCAATTTCATTTCTCTCCAGCGACCAGGTCAGGAATCAAAATACGCTAAACAGTTTGCAAGAACCCTGGAAGTTGTAGACCGCGCACCGTCCAATCAGTGAAGATCTGTGAAACTCAAACTCAAGCGTCTGTCTGGGTCCTTTTTGTGGTACAACACAACAGTAAACAAAGCGTCGAGATGGATGTAGACGAAGACAGACATTCTGTGTTGGAAACAATTCCCGAGATCGAGGATTTAAAGCCGGAACAAAGAGAATGTTTGGTGAATTTTATCAAGGTGAAAGACGTTATTGCCCTTCTTCCTACAGGATTTGCCGCGTTACTGTACATACGTCACGACCAAATAGCAGCGATTGGTTAAATAAAAAAAGTACCTGCCTACCGTCGAGCGAACGAATCGTAATGCTGCGAGGTCAGACGGTTTCCACAATGTGAAACCGGCTGATGAGTCAGGCCACTTTGAATCACCAACTGCAAATGATATAGGTCAACTCTATAACCCTGATTAAATATTATATAACCGGTGAACTGATAAAACGTTAATAATTTATATCTTAAATAACTTTATTTGTACAAAATATGATAACATTTATTCAGTATCAAGTTCACAGTGCCAACAGCCGTGGACAGAACAAACATATTAGCCTCCTTAAATTAGAAACCGAAAATCCACTCACTTTGGACTGGGCCAGAGATCCATTTTAAGTTTAACCATAACAAAAATATACATTAACTAACTTTTATCATAGTTATTAATTCATTTGGAGGTTTTTTTTTACAGGACAAAGGAGCCCCATAGTGTTTGACATTTTGAAACTACCACAGTCTCGGCTTTTTTGGCAAAACACAAACCAAACATTAATATTAACTCTTAAAAGGCCCATGTTACACTATTTTCTGATTTATGTTCTAAAACAGACCTGGAGTTGTGTTTTGTTTCATTCACACACATTTAACACACACAATTTTGCATATTTAGGCTGAGTTCGTCTCTCAAACTGAAAACAGCAAGTGCTCCCGTGTGTTTTTAAACTGGACACTCCTTCACTAGAGTCATTTGGATAATTTCAGCCCTGATATTTCCAATTTCCAACATGTGAGAATGAAACAAACAACATTATAACCTGGCTAAAAGCTCACAAGAGTCAATTTTGTGTCATGTGGGACCTTTAAGTACTAATTCTCTACAAACACAGCAAAACAAAGATCACACAAATGTACAGGGAGGTAGAAATATTCAGCACAGTTAAGATTGTCTCTACACAAACTCCGTATTTACACATATTTACAATAAATGTGGGCTCTGCTGGTGTTGTCTGAGGAGAACGATCATCAAATATAAGATTAAGAACAGTGAGGAGTTTGCACCATGGAGAGTTTGTTCTAAAAATACTGTTAAAAGATGAAATCAAAAGGGAAATATTTAAATTTAATAAAGTCAAATAAAATGCTCCCAGTCTGGAATAGTCAGAAGTTATCAGGGGTGTTTAAGATCTGGTTTAGTCCTGGTTTAGTCCTGGTTTAGACCTGGTTTAGTCCTGGTTTAGTCCTGGTTTAGTCCTGGTTTAGTCCTGGTTTAGTCCTAGTTTAGTCCTGGTTTAGAGCAGCTCTTTCAGAGTGTTCTAGTGCAGCAACAGCATACATCAGAAGAGCATTAGATCTGATTTAGACTTGCTTTAACCCTGTATTGGACCTGGTTTAGTCCTGGTTTAGTGCAGCTCTTGTGTGGTGTTCTAGTGTAGCATTAGTATATATCAGAGAAGCTTTAGACCTGGTTTAGACCTGGTTTAGACCTGGTTTAGACCTGGTTCAGTCCTGGCTTAGTCCTGGTTCAGACCTGGTTTAGTCCTAGTTTAGTCCTGGTTTAGAGCAGCTCTTTCAGAGTGTTCTAGTGCAGCAACAACATTGACCTGATGTAGATCTGATTTAGACTTGGTTTAATCCTGTATTGGACCTGGTTTAGTCCTGGTTTAGACCTGGTTCAGTCCTGGTTTAGTCCTGGTTGAGTCATTGGTTTAGACCTGGTTTAGACCTGGGTTGGACCTGGTTCAGTCCTGATTTAGTCCTGGGTTAGACCTGGTTCAGTTCTAGTTTAGTCCTGGTTTAGAGCAGCTCTTTTGGAGTGTTCTAGTGCAGCAACAACATTGACCTGATTTAGATCTGATTGAGAATTGGTTTAATCCTGTATTGGACCTGTTTTAGTCCTGGTTTAGACCTGGTTCAGTCCTACTTTAGTTCTTGTTTAGGGCAGCAATAGCATATATCAGAGGATCTTTAGACCTGGTTCAGTCCTGGTTTAGTTCTGGTTCAGTCCTGGTTCAGTCCTGGTTCAGACCTGGTTTAGACCTGATTTAGACCTGGTTTAGACCTGGTTTAGACCTGGTTTAGACCTGGTTCAGTCCTGGTTTAGTCCTAGTCTTAGTTAGCATTACTCAAAGTGCATCTCTTTTAGTTATGGGGTACAGAAAATAAGATAAGTAATGATGTCAAAATAAAAACATTTTTACTTGAGAAAAATTTGTATATAAAATAAAATAAATAAACTGAAGTGGGAGACAGAAAAACCTCAAAAATAATGTTATAATCTGCTAAAAATGCTGCAGACGTATTGGCCCAAGAATATATTTTCAGTAGCATCAATTTATTCAATCCACAAGTGTGAGTTTAATTAATTATAACTATAAAGGCAAGTTGGGGGCGACTCCTTAACCAAAAAAATTCAACATTTGTGGGTTTATTTTGTTTCTGAATTGGCTTAAAATATGATTAAATAAAGTAATTTAGACCCCTACTTTATGTCTGAAATGATGATATTTTCAAGAACGTGCACAAATGATCCCAAAAATGAACAAACGCAACAAAGTCTGATGTTGTTGTTACGCTTGTTGTCCAGTAGGAGGCAGCGCTGACCTCACACTTCACTCGTGCACAGTGCAGCGGCTCGGTGCGTCTCTCTTTATGTCTCTTTAGGTCTATATGGTGTTGCTGCTGGTTGGCTCGTTGAGGTTGCGGGTTAAATTTCACACCTCCAGTTCAGAGTCACTGTCCGTCACGGAAAGGGGCGTGTCCTCGTCCCCGTGTCCCGCGCTGTCTCTGGGACTGTCCCCTCCGCTCAGTCTGTGCAGCTGCAACCTGGTGCCAAAAAAAACACGGAGGATAAATAATGCTATAACTATATTAAAAATAGACAGAGTATGAAAAAAGTTAAATTATGGGTGTTAAAAAAGCGGGGAAAGTGCAAATACTGCTGAGTAAAACAACATTACGCATGAAAAATAATTCTTTTTTCTAGCATTTGCAGCATTTTTATTCATCTAATCTACTCCCTATCAACAAGTTTCATTTACTTGATAAAAAAAATGGTATTTGGTATGAAATTGAGAAGTTTTGCCTGATCATATCGCGCGTAATCCTGGTGTTAAGTGTTGTGTAATAAGGATAAATGCGCGTAAAAATAAGTTCAGTCACAGTTATTGATTTTCTGTAACTGAATCCGTGTCCTATATTTATCACAATGTGCTGAGATGCTCCAGTTGGCTGTAATGACATATTTATTCACTAACCCCATTCCTCCTGAACACTGACCCTGACATAATGGGAGTCGACTAGAGAAAGCAAAAGGAAAAGTGGACAAGCCGCTCTTTCCGCTCCAACAGTTTTGGTCCCAAGAGTGTTGAAGGTGGAAGCCACAAATCACAGGACAGTTTTCAATATGGAGAATTTAACTTCATTTTACTTAATTTTATTCATTTTAACTTAAGCGTAAATGTTGGAGATTTAATTTTGAGAACTGAAGTACCGTTATTGCTCAGTGTCGCCTTTTACGCACAGCCTTTACGCACAGCTTTTACGCACAAACCAAATGGAACGCACCTGTTTTTGGCCGCCGCCGCTCTGTCTCGCTGTCTCCTGTTCTTGAACCAGTTGCCCACTTGTGTCGGGGTCAGTCCCGTGGCACGTGCCAGCTCGCGCTTCTTGCTCGGGTTGGGGTAGGGGTCCTGGAGGTACCACTCCCGGAGCAGGCCCCTCGTGCGCTCCTTGAAGCAGTGCGTCTTCTGCTCTCCGTCCCAGATGGTCCGAGGCAGAGGGAACTTCTTCCTCACGCGGTACTTGTCCACGGGGCCCAGGGGCCTCCCGCGCAGCCGCTCGGCCTCACGGTAGTGCGCCTCGAGCCACATGGCCTGCAGTTTGCCGTGAGAGGCGCGCGTGAACCGGTGCGTCTCGAGGATGTGGTACAATTCTTTGAAGCTTCCCGCGTGGAAAGCGACCACAGCGCGTGCCCTCTGAACCGACTCGTGCTCGAAAATGGAATCCACACTGACTGGAAGTGACCACAGGAACCGGGCCAGTCTCTCGATGTCGCCGGTGTCCTCCAAAGTTTCGCAGACGCTCGCGACCTGCGCCGCCGAGAAGCACAGTCCCGGGAGGGCCACGGGGGCGCGCAGCGTGTCCATCAGCTGGGACCGGAACAGAGTGTCCATCTCCGCGGTCAGACCGGGACTGAGGCGGGGGACGCGAGGAGCGGGCTTTACACCTGCCCCGAGCTCACTCCTGATTGGTCAGAGGCTCCGGAGGATGGGTTACCATGGAGCAGCTGTCAGTCACGCTCAGATTCACGCACAATTCTCCAAGGAAAAAAAAAAAAACCTTCATCCTTTACCAAGAGCGGCTCCGTTAATCTGCAGTTGACCCTGAACACTGTCACAGCATCAAATGAACAGCGTTTATGGCCAAAGCTTTATAAAAACGTGAGTTACAATACTGCTGTACACCCCAGTACCTCAACATGATTAATCCCTGATGGCCTCATATTTACAGTGGCAAAAATAATAACGACTTGGAATAAAAATATATATAAAATCAGTGTTTTATATTGTATTTTCTGCGTGTCTCTCATCAGTACCATGGCCAAAATGTAGCATATGTATCTCTACTTATCACTTTTCATTTTCTAATTTCCATAAATCCGCAGCATAAACCACACTTCGCTCGATTACCTGGGATTATCGTAGCATCTGTTCGTATTTATCCATTCAATCCACAGAATTTACGCTGCATCGTCTCAAATTTGGACGCGTAAACTTCACAATAACGCAGAAATGAAAACTAGAACATGGAAATCTCTTGAAAAGTTCTTATGTTGACCTGTTTACATTAAAGATGAATAAAAACTGCGATGTGTGGAAAAGGGGGTCGCGGGTTTAAACGGGTCAATGCCAATTAGATGAATGACAGACAGATGTCCAGGCGCGTCCGGATCGCGGCGTGTGCCAGTTTTTCATTATCCATACGCGCTTTTTGATTCTAGATCATATGAGGAGGTCTGTGTTTAGGCTTTGTTGTTATTTTATTCTCATTGCTGCACTGAAAAACTAAGAATGACTTATTTTTCAATTTTATATTGACATTTATACATTTGTACATTTACATTTATACAATTATTCCTTATTTGACACCTGTCTCTTGCTATTTTTGCTACTTATTTAGAATTTATTATTACGATTTATATGTTTTTTACTCTTTGTTATTATATTATATTGTGATGGTTGAGCTACGGTGTCCAAATAATTTCCCTTGTAGATCAATAAAGCTTGTCTATAAGTCTAAGTTATGGCAAAACATTCAGTATTTTTAAGATATGAAAGCGATAGAACTGTTTCCCAATTGACAATTACAGAGACAAATCAAATAAGAAGGTGGATGAAGTGTCTTGCCCAAGGACTCAACTATATATATATATATATATATATATATATATATATATATATATATATATATATATATATATATATATAAAACCGTCAGAAGTGGGATCAAACTGACAGCCTTTTGGTTTGTGGTGCAGACTCTGTATAAAGAAGTGGAGTAAGTGAGTGTGATGTTATTTATTTATGGACAAAATAGTGTAATAAAAACACCAGGATCATGTAGAGCAGCGGGTTAAAATGAATATTTAGACCAAAATGACGAGGCTCACAGCAGCAGTTACAGAGAAAGAAGCAGTAGTTTTTCAATGTAAAGTCAATTAGAGCCAGAGTTGATGGAGCTGAAAGTGCTGCCATTCTCACTTCCTATTTGGAACGTGGAGGGTAGTGGGTTAAATATGTTTATTTATATGTACAGTCTACGGTTTGTGGGAAACCATTAAAGGGACAGTTCAGAATTTTGGACATAGGACCTCATTTCCTCGTGAGTGAGTCAGAGTGTTGGAGACGTGTGGAGACACTTTTTGAAATATTCCATCCAGTCCTTGTATTTGCAGAGGTCACTGGTGCTAGACTAGTGCATGTCAATGGCCATAGTTATCCTGCCACTAAAAACAGTCTTACCCACTCCACAAAACACCCGAAACAAATCTATTATTACACCAGACTGTCGATGTAAATGTCTGTGTTAATAGAATAATTTTAGAAGTAAAACCAACCTTGCATTTGAAGGATTTATGTCTGAGCAGCAGCAGTGAGTTGTACTTCCTGATAGAAAATTTGGCAGCGGCGGACTGATATATGAGAAAATAGTCCCTCAACATGTGACGATTCATGCGATGTAAGGTTAGTTTTATTTCAAACATTCTATTGACACAGACATTTACATGGACAGTCTGGTGTAATAATAGATTTGTTTCGGGTGTTTTGTGGAGTGGGTAAGACTGTTTTTAGTGTCAGTATAACTACGACCATTGACATGCACTAGTCTAGCACCAGCGACCTCTGTAAATAAACTCTGTGGCCGTACCGGTTTGTCAAAGCCTGGTCCCATCAGATCTCAAAAGCTCAGCAGGGCCGGGCCTGCACTTGGATGGGAGACCTCTGGGAAAATCAGGTGACACAGTGGGGCGCCAGTCATAAAACTGTCGTTGTGTCCTTAGGCAAGACACTTCACCCACATTGCCTAGTATGAAAGTGGTGTGTGTGTGAGTGATGATGGTGGTTGGAGGGACTGATGGCGCCGACTGGCATGGCAGCCATACTTCCGCTGCCCCAGGGCAGCTGTGGCTACAATAGTAATTTACCATCACCGGGTGTGGAGAGAAAAGAATAATGATATATAATATAATTATCTGTAAAGTGTCTTTGTGACATACGTCTGTGAAAAACGCTACAAAAAAAAAAAAAAAAAGACTTACTTACTTACAAGGACTGGATGGAATATTTTTAAAAGTGTCTCCACACGTCTCCAACACTGACTCACTAGGAAATGAGGTCCTATGTCCAAAATTCCAAACTGTCTCTTTAAACAGATTATTTCTTTCCCCGGAATGTTCCTTTTGGCACCAAACAAATCTATTTTGCATTTATTACACAAAAATCCAACCCAAAAAACAAAAACTGTATTTTTATTATGAGCTGACTTCACTCTCCACAGATCTGACCTGTAACTTGGCTTGTCTCCTCGCAGATAGATAAGTTGTCACACTGGGGAATTACATCTCCATGGAGACAAGCAGGCGGTAAACAATCCACTAGAAAAGTTACAAAGTGCATCTTTAATCACACAAGTGGGTGAAGTGTAGCGTCCACTGTTACTCCTAACGAGATTTCCTAAAGTACAACTTCCTTTTCTTTATCCTCTTCCTCTTTTCAGACAGATCCAGGAAACACTCGTCTTTCACTCTGCAGCTCTTTTGTCTCCACAGACACAACAACAAACCTCCTCCAGCACATCGGACGCAGACGGAGACTAAACTCTTTTACTCAAGACGTTTATGTTTGAAGACGACGTTTGGTGAAAGCTGGAAAATATCAGCAACTGGTTTTGGAAATATCTTAAATGATCTAAATTATGCTGTGTGCTACTGTTTGCCAAGTACTGATTATACTCATTAGTTCTGATTTGGACCTAGTTGAGTCCTAGTTTAATCCTGATTTTAGACCTGGTTTAACCCGGATTTAGTCCTGATTTAGACCCGATTATAGACCTGGTTTAGTTTGGGTTTAGTCCTTATAAATCATAGTTAAGTTCTAGTTTAGTCCTTGTTTAGTCCTGAATTTAGACCTGGTTTAGTTTGGGTTTGGTCCTTATAAATTGTAGTTTAGTTCTTGTTTAGTTCTAGTTTAATCCTTGTTTAATTCTGATTTAGACCTAATTATAGACCTGGTTTAGTTTGGTCTTAGTCTTTTTAAATCACAGTTTAGTTCTGGTTTAGTCCTGATTTAGTCTTGATTTAGGCCTGATTTTAGACCCGGTTTAGTTTGGGCTTAGTCCTTATAAATCACAATTTCGTTCTGGTTTAGTTCTAGTTTAGTCCTGATTTAGTCCTGATTATAGACCTGGTTTAGTTTAGGCTTAGTCCTTATAAACTGTAGTTCAGTTTTGGTTTAGTCCTGATTTAGACCTGATTATAGACCTGGTTTAGTCCTTATAAATCATAGTTTTGTTCTTGTTTAGTCCTAGTTTAGTCCTAATTTAGTCTTGATTTTAAACCTGGTTTCATTTGGTCTTAGTCCTTATAAATCATAGTTCAGTTTAGTCTTGATTTTAGACCTGGTTTAGTCGGGGTTTAGTCCTTATAAGCAATAGTTCAGTCATGGTTTAGTCCTAATTTTAGACCTGGTTTAGTTTGGCTTTAGTCTTCATAAATCGTTGTTCAGTTCTGGTTTAGTCCTGATTATAGATCTCATTTAGTTTGGTCGTAGTCCTTATAAATCATAGTTCAATTCTGGTTTAATATTTGTTTAATCTGGATTTAGTCCTGATTTTAGACCTGGTTTAGTCCAAGTTAAGTTCAGTTCTTGCTCAAAACTGGTCACTGAACCACCTGGACCACAACAAAATGATGTAGACCTGTGATTTACAACAACATTTAATAAAAAAAACAAACAAAAAACAACTTTATCCTGATTTATTCATAGACAAAGACCTGATTTAAACCTGGATTAGTTGTGGTTCGGTTCTTTATTCTTGTTGATTTAGTGTTGTATTTTATGTTTACCCAAAGCAAATCATTTCAATTTCAAATAATCCTTTAAAAATATTTACACCGTCTTATTTAAAATGGTAAAAAGTGGAATAATACGTTAAAAATAGTTCAATATTTCATTTCGTAGTTGTGTAGTTTAGCCCTGATTTTGAATTCCTCCTCCTTAAACTCACGCTGGTGCCACCAACGATCCCCGATAAGTGTTTCTCAAAAGCTTTTACAATGAAGTCAATAGAGCTACATGCCCCATTCAGAGGAGGGGCAATTAGCAGGTGGGGGGGGGGGTTCAGGGTACACCTCCGGGTTCGGGGCGTCTTCTTCTGCCCCTTCGGTAAACAATAGCCCCAGCTCCTAATTAACCCATTCACTGACCTACACAACTTAGCCCTGACCCCTTAAGCCCCGATGTGTCATGGGGCATTTACGGACCCGCCCCCCTCCAGCTCGTTAGGGCCGCTAATCACTTCCTGGGTCTGCCGTTGTGCTTTTGTGCCTCACACCGAGCGCACAATGGGGTAGAAAGGGAAAGTATGGAAGGGGGTTGTTGAAGAATTCAGACAG